GATTCTTTGCCAATTACTTTGAACCTGATTATTTGTCAGTGATGAAGTAGTAAAAGCAATGTAATCCAACAAGATGACTACAACACTCAGGATTAGGAGAATGTAATTCTAGGACTGGGTATGCTACTAGCTTGCTGCCTGACTTCAAGCAAGTCTAAATTTTCAAAGTGTCCATCTCTAATTTTGGATAACCTGTTTTAGAAAACTAAGACCTATTTGCAGAGCTACTGAGCTCTTTGCAAAGAACATCAGGTGCACAGGACCCCTGAGAAATCAGCCCTTACTTGCCCAAACTGAGCATTTAGAAATAGAGAACCCCTACATTAAACCAAGATGATGATACTTACCAGAGGTGTGCAAAACAGGCCATATTTGATTCAGCCCGAATTGGGGCCAGCGATTCGATTTGTTGATTCAGATCACTGTCCCTGATTTGATTTGGCTGAATCTGAAAATTCGATCCTGATTTGGAGAATCAGTGATTTGGCCACAGACACAGCTTTAAAATGTTTTTTCTACATACCTCGAGGTACCAGGTGTGCCTTGTGAACAATGCAATGGTGGGGTGGATGGAGAATCCCACAGGAGCATGATGGGGCCCCCCACATGCTCAGCGGCAAACCTGGAAGTGGACCAGAAGTACTTCTGGTCCGCTTCTGGACATGCCACTGAGCTCGTGGGGGGGGTGGGGGTGGCATGCCTCCCCCAGCTCGGCATTTGGCCATGGGGGGACCCCAGGCACCCCCCCAGACCCAGGAGGCACCAGTTGTCGATCCAGGGGGTTTGTGGGGCACCCCCCCAGCACACTCCCCAGTGGACCCCCCACACTCCTGTGGGACGTTTCATCCACCCCACCACCACAGCATCCACGAGCCACCTGGTACCTTGAGGTATGTAGAAAAAACATTTAAAGTTGTGTCCATCTCTGAATTGCCAAATCTTTCCGAATCAATTCGGAGGGTTCCGATTCTATTCAGAGAGATTCTATTCTATTAAAGGGTGTCTTCATTCAATTTGGATTTGGAGATTCAGCCACCAAATCGGGCCAAATCTCCACCAAATCGAATCAGGGACCAAAGCTTCGCACAGCCCTAATACTTACCTACCTTGGTAAACCACTTCATAATCTTTAATGAAGGCTGCTGTGTCAGTAAAGAGTGTAATAACTTACATTACTACCAGGACTTTAGTTTGCCTTGCATTAAGGCTGCTTCTTTCCATGCTTAACTATACAAGGGCTATACAAATACATAAGTGCTTCAGCTATTGAAACCTAACGGTAGACATTGCTTCATGTTTAATGGGCATTAAAGACAGCATAGTGGTGACAGCTTATTAATACTTCACATGCTATATATTCAAAATGAAAACATTATTTCACTATTTAGTTTGCTGGGTCCAGGTTTACTCTGTCAATAATTGGCAGGCTTTGTCAGAGACTAGAAAGGTCAGTCTGGGGGGTGACTCAAAAGCAGGCAGAGAAGAGATGAATGGCATATTAGGAGAATGAACTGACTCAACCCCCACCACCACCTTCCAGCTCAGCAACTCGTGCCTCCTGGGTCTGGAGGGGCACCCAGGGCCCCCCCATGGCCCATCACTGAGCTGGGGAGGTGTGGGGGAGGGGGATCCCCCACACACTCGGGGGCAGACCCGGAAGTGGACTGGAAGTACTTCCAGTCCACTTCTGGGTTCACTGCCGAGCATGCAGGGAGGCCCCCCGACATTCTTGTGGGACACTCCATCCGCTCCAACATCGCAGCATTCACGAGCTGTGCCTGGTACCTCGAGGTATGTAGAAAAAACATTTAAAGCTGTGTCTATGGTCGAATCACTGATTCTCCAAATCAGCATCGAATCTTCAGATCTAGATTTGGTTGAATCGAGTCAAGACTGATCCAAATTAACAAATCAAATTACTAACCCCAATTCGGGCCGAATCCAAATCCAAATCCAAATCAAATACAGCCCATTTTGCACGTCTCTACTGACTGATGAGGCAGAATAATGCTGCAGATGTGGGATGAGCAGCTGGTATGAAACATGTCAAACTCTAGAACTGTCGCAACTGTCTCACGTAGCAACAAGGTAGACCATCTACATGGGACTTCTCTCAGCATAAGCAGTGCTATCTGTCTGAAAGTTTGCTGCCCAAGTTACCAACAAGTTTGGTACTGGTAGACCAACAGTCAGGGCTTCTGTTGTGGGGGGCATATGCTATTATCAAGAAGATGCTGTTCCTCCACATCATAGGGCTAACATTCAAGGTGCAGTTGATTGTTAATGGCTTTATATGGTTTAGGTCCTCTAATTTTATTGGGGTCCTTGATAGGATGCATGAGGTAACTTCTTCCCACCCCTTGCCCTATATTGGTACACTTGAATATAGTTCTGATGTTGTTTTGAAGCTTGTTTTGATGTTTTATTTCATTTTATTTTGTTTGTGGGGGGGGGGGGGATTGCATGCATGGATGTTATGCCACATAATATAATAAAAGACCTAGAACCATGAATGCCAAGAAATGTCTAGTTCTTAAAAAAATCAACTGGTAGTAATCTATCAAGATTAACTTTGATAGCATTAAAAACACTTCAGTGATCATACATAAAGTTGTGAAACTTAAGGTCTGGAGATGTAGCACGTTTACAAAAGCATAACTTAAATTGGTTTTATCTATAGAAGTAAATTACACCAAGATCTAGATTAGGCAGACATGCAACAATTTTAGCACCTTGCCACTAGGTGGCAGGAGAGAAACAATATAGCCATTTTTGCCTTGAGAAAACACCTACCACAGGATAAGCTATGAACTTGACACCTACAATGATGCTTTAAGAGATCCACAAGGGATATCAGGTATTAACAAACGCAGGAAAAGAACATAATCTAGATGGTGGCCCAGGTTCAGTAAGTAAATTTAAGTTTTAATAGAAGGCTGTGAGGAATGTAACAGAGAAAAAAGGCTGTCCCCAATGCCATTAATTTCTACATAGAAACCAGATAAGTCTTGGAAGCAGGTAGCAACAGATATGTTTTTCTGGAAAGGATGCACATGTTATTGTAGTTGATTATTTGTCCATGTATATTAACTTGTCTCTACTTACACAGACATCACTGGCACAAGTAATCCAAAAATGAAGTCAAGACATATTTGCAAGACAGAGTTCCTGAAATCTTCTTATATCAGGCACTGGACCTCAGTTTACATCTGATTTATTCCTACATTTTTCAGAGAACTTTGATTTTCAAGATTTTACCTGTACTCCTCACTATCCCCTGAGCAACAGAGAAACTGAGAAAGCAGATCAAACTCTGAAACAACTTTTACAAAGTTCAGGGATCTGCTGGATCTAGAGATCCACTGGCACTCCTGATATAGCAGTCAGCATCACTTGCATTGGGACTTTCTCTGAACTGCTCATGTGGCAACAACTTAAGACATCATTACCTATACCGTCAACCTGCATAAATTTAAGAAATGAGATACTGAACTAAAACTTCAGCAGCAAAAAAACTTCAACACTAGACAGTGGGCCAAACCACTACAAGAGCTGATGCCAAGGATCATTTTTTGGCTCAAGAAGCTCAGTTGTTTGAAACTATTCAAAGTATGGCAAAAATTCCTAGATTCTGCTTAGTAGAGGCTTCAAAAGCTCTTCTCTAGAGAAACCTGGTTCATCTTCAACATATTCCACCTCAGACGCTGACATAGAAAATATTAGAAAATGAAAATGAATGTCCAACTGTAACAGCCCCCTGCCCAATTTACCTGCCCACGGCACAGATGCATGGAGCCTACATGGCTGAGCCAGCACCATGCTGGCTAGAAGTGTGCTCCTGATTGACCTGGAGCCCCTGGGTGATGGGCCAAAAGTGTGCTGAAAACAGGCATGGAGGAATGGCAGCAGAGGGACCAGAAGCAGCCCCGGCTATTTTCACCCCTAGCAGAACCCTGAACACCCTCCACACTATGGGGAAAGCAGAGCAGGCACAGACCATGCATCCTAAAGGAGATAGCCAGCTGGCTGCACCCCAAGCAGCAGCTCTGGAGCCAGCTGCATCCCACCCAATGAAGGCTAG